TGTGTTTCTGTGTCGAACACAAGCTTTATAAATCGACTGAATTTCATGAGAGTCAAACGCTCCCAAAGCACGTTCTATCAAGTCAGCTGTGACTGTTAGTCTTTAAATAGTTTTTTTGACTGACGATCATCCGGCGAGTCTGATTGAGGCGGGCAGATGGGGAACCGCCAAACTCCTTGAATGGCTGTTGGATCAGAATGTCTCGTTGGAGATTCGAACAGGGTCATCTGCAATGCAGTCGAGCATGATACCAACCCAGAAGACATCACACTTCTCGGGGGTTGCAAATGTATTGTCATTCTTTCAGATGAACAGTAATATTTACAAGATTTATAGAGAGTCTATGAGCAGCATGGGGTCCAAGTCCATTGATCCCTCTTCTTTGCCTATAGTTAGTCAATGATTTACGACCCCATAGACACAATTTAGATTATATTTACGTTTCAGAAGGAGGCTTTTTCACCCAGTCTATCAGGACCAGCCTTAGCGGTGTGTGATACTGAATACCAGCTGACAGATGGAGGTACTCACTAATACACTTCCCTACTTGAGAATAGAACTCGTGTCTCCTGCACGCAGAGGCGAAGAGGCTTACATTAACACTACATCGCTGATACCCTCCCCCCAAACCTGCTCCGTTCCATTTTCCAAAAACAAATTACACAGACCAGTGGTTGGGATCAGGCTCACAAATAATGTCAAGCGATTCGGTGACGTGGTTTTTAAATGGATAGTGACTGGGTGTGTTCTTAAGCGAAACACGACAATTATCCTTTGCTCGAAATCAGAGCGCTGACCGCACACTCTCATGGCCGTCTCTCTTCGCTCTATTTCTCGCTCCCTCCCTCTCCCAACCCCCCTCTCCCTCTCTCTCTCTCTCTCTTACAAAAAAAAAATAGAATTCGCTTTGAATTGTGTGCACCATGGACAAGCACACACACACACACAAACATACACTCATACTCACAGAATACCTACTTCCCCATACTATCCCTTCCTGGATGGTCTTAAGAAAGGTCAGGGTTAAACAATGTTAATCCGGATATCGGAGATATCGGATTAATGATGCGTAAATGATGCCGGCCTTCTTAACAGGTCTTCCTTTAGCAGCTCAGCCTTTGAATAACTAAACCTTTAATATGGCGACGCAGGTGCTTGGGGGGGAGGGGGGGGGGCACCACTGGTAGGTCCTACTTATATTCTTTCCCTCTGTTGTTTCTGCCTGTTTGCACTAAATGGCCGTTATCGTGTCAATGTGCCTCTATTTCTTCAAACAAGACCAAAACAAAACAAAACATGGCGCATCAAAGAGCAAGAGGAAAAACATTTGTTTTTTGTTTTGTTTTGTTTTTGCATTCTTCTCTCTTTCAGGTATACCTTTGGGGTGTAATAGTTAGGTCTTTCGGTTTAGCTACAAAAACATGAGTTTGAATCCTACGAAGGGTCTACATATGTCATGTTTATGAAAACATCTCCCTTTTTGTTGGGATGTCGTGTCCTCCACAAACCTGGGTTGGCCCTGACGCCCTTTCTCAAAGCAGTCCACCGATTAAGATTCCGTCAATAGAATAATAAAACATGGTCATTTATCAATAATTCCTTAACTTTCCTAAACATACTACACGCAGAACGAATTCTAAAAAAGAAAACA